ATTGCAGCAGCTGCCACTAGCAGAAGCAGAAGGGGCTGGTCTCCGCCTGCCAGTAACATCTGCTCCTCTGGCACACTCAGCCCCCCCTGATCCTCGTCTCGCATCCTCAAACTAGCCCCATGGAAATTAGCAAGTGATTCCGCACCCACCGGGCCACGCGGTAGAAATTAGTCGTTCAAAACCATATCTAATACGCTCAGAACGTTCCCCCTGGTCCTGGTTCAGCAACGGGGCTGTTCAGGTAGATTGAGGATGCCCTTTGGGTTGAGACTGTCTTTGGCGGTGGAGGAGGAGGTCAACAAGAAGGACGCTGAGAGAACGGAGGAGGCAAGACGCGTTTGACGCAGCTGCCTTGATACTAGCACGGCCACTTGCGATCACAGAACTGTTACCGCTTGTATGTTGATAAAATCGTGTTCAGGTAGTTTCCATGTGCTCGAATGGAAATGCTATTGCATGACTCCTGGGCCCCACTGCCAAATCGTGCCTGGGCCCACGTTGTCGACACATGAAACGTACAAGCCTGAAACTAAAACGAAAAGCAAAAGGGACAAAAAAACAGCAAACAAACAACAAACTAGACTTGTGGCACCAAGAAGCGGGCAATCAAAAAGCACTGATGCGCATACATACGCATCGGGAGAGCACTGAAAACTTGAAGACATAGTCGTGTTCAACGACCTATGTCTAGTAAACAAACAAGTATCCGCATACATATATGCGTGTGCGAATAAACATGCATATGAAAATGTTTAAAAATCAGCATCATCATCATCAGCATCATCATCATCATCAACCGCGCCCTTGAGGCACAAATTGGTGTATCATCAGGTCCAGTGTTCGACCCCTTAGAGCCTCAGTTCTCAATCCTACAGATTTCTAAAAATGACCTGGAATAAAAATTGATACATCGGCCACGGCGCGTCGCGTGGTCCTCGGGGCGCATCGCATCCTGGAGCTAGTCGCGCCCTGTCGCGTGACTTTTTCGGGCCCTCATGGGCCCCAAAACGGGCCAAGAGTGCCCGAATAGGCCCCCAAGACGGTACAAGGGGGACCCGAATCGCCGCACGATCGGTCCAAGACGCCCAAGATGGCCCCAAGACGGCCCAAGAAGCCCTCAAGATGTTCGACGGATTTGGGCCGCATCGCTTTTTCGGCTTTCCCAGGCTCCAAAACGGTTTCAGAAGCCCCCAAGATCGCCCCAAGGAGGCCCAAAACGTCCCCAGGAAGGCCGCCCCAGAGGGCCCGGACGGCCCGAGCGGCCCCCAAGACAGCTCCAAGAGGCGGCCAGATGGGGGACCCGAACGGATATTTCCAGCCCTCGGCCCAGAAAGGCCCCCAGCAGAAGGCCCCAAGAGCCCCTCAAGAGACCCCCACGAGGCCCCCAAGACCCAAACGAATTCCCAAGAGGCACCAAATCAGCCCCCCAGAGGCTTTCAAAACCGCCTCCAGGAGGACCCCGAGAAGCCTCCCACGAGCAGAGCAGAGCAGAGCAGAGCAGAGCGCGCAGTTGTTCGCCCAGGCGGCGGGGCCTAGAAGGCCGGAGCCCTCAAGTGTGGAGGTGAATGTTCTCAACCGTTGGTGTTGTGTGCTGCGTGTGCTGTAGAAACGCTGCTTCCAGGCTGCTCCATGTTTTGCTGTCTTGCGCTAGCGTGAACCATCGTTGGTTGTCTCGTTCGAAGGGCGTGGTGGCTTCGAGAAATTTCACGAGATCATCCTCCCACCTTTTCCGCTGGCCTCCGTGTCTGCGTAGCGCTGGCTGGCGGTCGTGGATGTCCGGCTCCCATGATGACACAACAAACCGCGCCCGCCTGTCACATGGTAGTTCGGCTACTCTTCGTGCCCACCGCCACTTGCGTCTGAAATATGTCGTCGTCCAGTCGTCCATGTTGGCCCGTTTCGCAGTGTCTGTTGCTATGTGTGTGGCTCTGCGTAGGAAATATTCCCACGGTTCTAGGTCGGTCCCGTCGTCGCCGTCTTCGAGGTCCGGCTGTCTTGTGCTGTCGTCCGAGCTATTGTCGGTTTTGCTTGCGTCGTCGAGGTGAATCTCGTTGTTGGAGCCGTTGCCGTTGTCGGCTGTGCTGCTGTTGCGTCTCGTTCGTTTTCTAGGGGTCTTCACAATGAGTCGTAACATTCGTCGCTGGGTACGTCGAAGTGTTTGAAGCATGTCCTTCGTGGCCGCCAAAGAAAAGCAAAAGTAGATAACTGAGGGCGATACCGTGCCGATGAACAGCCGTAGTCTGCTCTGGAGGGGGTACCGCTTGCTTGTGAGTGCGTCTCGAAGCTGGTTAAAACGGCGCCATCCAGACGCAAGTCGGTTGGAGAGTTCAGCTTGGTGAAAGTCGTGGAACGTGAGCTTGCGACCCGGATACTTGGTGGTCTGCGCTGAAAATGTAAATTCTGTCGTCGTTATAATACTTCCAAGAGGTGTCCTTCTCACCCGCAACACAAGCAAAGTGGCAGGGTGGGCCGAAGGCCATTAGGTATTCACGTACACATATACACACATATACAGATATATACACTCATAGAAATGCATATAGACAAACATACATGCATACACGCATACATACATACACCTACCTCTATATTACATGTATATATATATATATATGTACGTGTATGTATGCATGTACATCTACATATACATATACATATGCGCATGCATAAACATGAGCATATACATGTATGCGTGAACTTATACATATGCATATATATATATGTGTATTACATGTGAATATACATGAACATATACATTTACAAATACGTATGCAAATACATGTGCAGTTACACGTAATTCAACATATACAAATTCCTAGATACATACATATACATACACCTAAACGTATATGTGTGTATCCATACGCCCATACATATACATATACACATACACATACATGTTCATATACATGTACATTTACATGTGCATACGTGTATGCACATACTTATGCTAATACATCGAAATTCACATACACATATACGTATACATATACACATGCCTGTGAAAGACCCATTTCTACATACATGTGTACACGCGTGCAAAACATACATGCGGAAACAGAAACTATATACATATAGGAATACCTATACTTTCGTGTGTACACTTATAGATACGTATATGCAGATGCATAAACATCTGCTTATACATACACATATACGTATACGCATACACATGCATGTGCATATACATGTGCATATGCAAATATATGTAATCATACGGATACATACACATCTACATAAACAAGCACATGACGAATTACATATATGTATACGAACATATACATATACATATACATGTATGTACATACGCATAAACATAATTATACCTATACATGTACATATACACAAAGATATACAAATGCATTATACAGATACGTTCACATATACGTACGCATACACCTATGCAAATACATAGACATGTATACCTACAGACGTCTACAGATACACCTACACACATACACATACGTGTGTATCCATAGACATGACATGTACAAATGCATATAAAATTACATGATCACATAACATATACATATACATGTACATGTGCATGTTCATACATGTATGCATTAATGTGTAAGATGTATGTACAATTAATATGTGTATGTATACACACATACACATACATACGTACGTACATACATATCCGATGGCAGCACGTGGTGCAAGCACATGTCATCGGCCGCTGCTGTCCACCCCTCTTCGTTGTCCACCAGCCCGATGGGTCAGCGCGCGGCCATCTCGGAGCTGCCTCCGGGCTGTCCAGCGTCCCTGCGGGCAATCTCGTGGCTGGATTGGTCCCCATGGTCCCGTGTCCGAATCATCTCGGGTCCCCCGTGCGGCCGCCGAGGACCATCAGCCATTTGGGGCCCTCTTGGACTCTCGTTGGGCCGTTGGCATGTGCTGCGCGCAAGCCAGCACTGGAAAGCAAAACTTGACATGTCCGCGCGGCGTGCGTAAGCCAGCATGGGAAACGTCATGCCGGGCAACTTCAGGGGACGAGGGGAAGCAAGCATGTATGTCACTGGCATTGTGATGTGCTGTGTTTGCTAGGCTGGACCGTTGTGTTGATTAAATGTGCCCTGGTTAGGTATCAGGTGTGCCTACTTGCCTGTGAACTATGTATCATGTGTGACTCAAAAATTTCATTATTTGCGTTGGTCATATATGTCTGCATTAACCATTTATTGCGTGTGTATTAGCGATGTCGTCTGTCGGAAGCTTCTCGATACCCTCTCGGCAGCCCCCCAAAAGCCTCTCGGATGCCTCCCAAAACCCTCTCAGAATCCTATCAGACTCCTCGGATCAACCTGTCAGAAGCACCGAACGAGTCTCTCAGAAGCCCCACAGAAGCCTCGCAGAAAGCCTCTCAAAAGCCTTCCAAAAACCTTTCAGCCGACTCTCAGAAGTTTCTCAGTCCCCTCCTGGAAGCTTCTCAGGAACGTCTCAGCCGCCTCTCAAAACCTCTTAGTCGCCTCTCGGGAACCTCTTCAAATGCTCGAAAAATTCTGTTGGATGCGCTGTCAAGCCTTCCAGAATCATCGCAGAAGCTTTTCAAAAGCACAGCGCAAACCTCTTCGAAGCTTATTCAAGACTTCCTGACTTCTAGAGGACGCCGAAGGTACTTCCACAGAGTACTGAAGGTGCCCCTGCAGGGTGCTAAAATACATCCAGAGGGTGCCGGAGGCACCTCAAATTAGAGGGTGCTGAGAGCACCTCTGGATGGCGCCGAACATATGTTTGAAAAAGCGTCGCTCACGTCTTGGAAAACAACCAGGAAAGATTCCCTCTCGACTGGGGAATAGCCCGCTACAACAGTGATTAATCGGACAAACCTGTGCATGTGTGTACAATTCAACCCCCTCTTAGCCCTCCCCCTCGTCCTGTCCCTGCTCCCCCTCGTCCTGACCCTCCTCCTCCTCCTCCTCCTCTTCCTCCTGTCCTCCTCCCTCTCCTCCTCCTCCTCCTCCTGCTCCTCCGCTGGGGCCGGGGGGGGGCGCGTCCCCAAAGGCATTCGCGGCGATGAGCAGAACAGTGAATGCCAGCATCAGGAAGGGGCCCTCGAGCAGCGAGCTGGCCTGGAAAGGAAAGCTCTGGCGGAGCGGGCTCCACAAGGGAGAGGGGAGAGAGGGAGGGAAGGACGGAGGGAGGGCGGGAAAGGGGAGGGGGGGGGGGGGAGGGTGCGGCAGGGAGGGAGGGAGGAGAGAGGAGGGGAAGGGGAGGGAGGGAAAGGGGAGGGAGGGAGGGAGGAGCGGAGGGAGGGACGGAGGGCGGAGGAAGGAGGAAGAGGACCCAGACCCCCTCGCCGGCAGAACCAACGACGAGGAGGGTTCTCGGCCGTCCGGCGTCCTCGGCCTCCAGGGGCCCGCTCCCGGACTGGCCCCGCGGGGGGCCAGCAGAAGGAGAGAGAGAGAGAGAGCGAAGAGCGGCGCCAGCGGGGGAGCGTGGGGGCCTGAGGCCTGCGAGTCGTGGGGAGCCCATACGCCGCCAGGAGCCCCCAGGGAATCTGGCGACCTACGGACTCGGACTCGGACCCGCCACAGGAGGGCCGGCGGGGGCCCGGCAAGTTGGCGCCGTGGCGCCGCGCAGCTGCAAGGCCCAGGGATCGATCCATCAATGTGAATGGCGACCTGCGGGTTCCCCACAATTCGGAATTGCGGGAAACCCACGGATGGACGACTGGTCGTGGGGGGGGGGTGCAGTAGGGGCCCGACCACAAGCAACCTTCCACGCGAAACCCAAGAAACCCGGGGCACCCTTGAGGCAAGCCTCCTCCTCCTCCTCCTCCTCCTCCTCCTCCTCCTCC